AGTTGTATTGCATGCCTGAATGAGACAACTAGTTCCAGTAACTGTGTTTGTCTTTCTTGGCAGCTACTCACAAGGCACACTTATGGGGTCTTTACATCTCCAAATTCTAAATAACAGCAAGGCCACATGCATTTGTGGGCAGGAGTTCAGTTCCTAATTGGAGAGCTAGTTTATCATGAGCAGAAAGCCGTCAGCCTGGCCACAGAACAAGACGTGATCAACTTGAGCAAGGCATGTGCATTGGCTCTAAAGTGGAGGGGAAGGCTAGGGAAAAGCGGCCTCTCATTACATTAAAGCGCCTATTACCCCTTGATCCTTCCTTGGCTGTCTTCCATGACTCATGGCTCACTGGAAAGCCCCTCTAGGGTTTGGTTTCCTTTTGGGGGGGAAGGGTGGGGAGAACTATATCTCATTTCTTAGTTTTATTACTCCCCTCTTAGCTATTAGTTCTCGCTATATCCTTTGGATAGACTACCTGCCCCTTGGTAGTATATAGCATGTTCCCCATTAGTGGAAAGTTAGGAATCCACAGGAACGGCAATTGATAGACTGTTGAACAAATGCAGGAACTGGCTTGCTATGGCTTTGCAAACTCAGCCCTAACCAAAATCCCTTTTGTGGAAATTGCTGCAAAAGAGAGCAAGCATTGCAACATTTCCTTCATGCTGCTGGGAAAAGGGAGTAGTATTGCCAAAAGTCCCTGAAGCCCCAACAGAGGCAGTGAGTGTTTGCAGATACAGAAATAGGGCTTGTGTCCATAGTTTTCACATTGCCACTGGCCCCTGGGAAAACAGCCTCTTTATGATGGCAAGGATAGCCCTCATTGGAGACAGGATACTTAGGAAAGTGAACTAGATTTCAAGGAAAAATTAGGGGTAGCTTCTCGTGGGGTTTAAAAGCTTGCAATTCCTTGTGTGAATGTGTTCAGGAAGGGTGAATATTGATCGTACAAGTAAGATGACGTGACATGCTAGCCACATACCTGCAGTAGTAATAGCAGGAGCAATTGCACCTGTGCCGCAGGACTTGCTCTCTGGTGGTAAAGACATCCTTAAAGGTCATGTCACTGTTGTGAAGCCTACCATCAGCAGATGAACCTATACTGTACAAATTGTACTGAAACAATATTGGAGTCCATAGAAGATTCTTCTTTGGTGCAAAGCTAGAGGAGATTCCGTTCACATTTTGTTTACCTTAGTAGTTTTTTCAGTTTGTTATACAAATATGCCCTATGAGTGAACAAATGCTATGCTACAACATAGAATTTGCTGGGCTAATCATGCTTACTTTGTGCATTGTTGCAGTCTTTCTCACAGCTCCTCATTATCAAAGGGAGACTGTGAGCATCTTCTTATTGTTGTGTGTTTTCAAGTAGTTTTTTGGCAAGATGTATTCGAGGGGTTTTCTCACCACCTCTGAAGCCCAAGGTCGCCCAATGAGTTTCCAGTGTCACAGTCCAACCCACAAACTACTACACGATGTGAATTTTTAGTCTCAAATCCCTGGAATCCAATATTATGCCACATGCAGCATCCTTAAATGAGAGAATTCCTGGTCATGGAGAGCAGAAGGCAAGAAGGGAAGGAGATGCCAAGGATAGGGAGCTTTCCCTTTCCAGAGACACCGAACCCTGCATGTCCTCCTTTAATTGATTCAGACTCCATGGACAATTAACCTCTTGCCTCACATGAGCCCTGACAGCCAGCTGTGCCATCTGCTCAGGGGGTGAGATTAAAAGCTAAAGGACTCCTCCACACCCCAATCTCCTTCCTCCTCCCCCTCCTCTTGGGATTAGCTACAAGAGGAATGAATATTGGAGCACAGAAGCCCTTTCTAGGAAAACAGCATTTCAGTGGATCTGAGGAGCATCTGCAAATAGACAGGCTGTGCCTGTTTCTCTTAACAAGATAGATAAGAGAGGTCAAGAGCAGGGAATGGCCCACAACCTCTGCATTGAGAAAGAGAGTGTAACGAGTATGCTAAAGTTTTTTTCCATTCAGTAGTAAGGCAAAGGTAAAGGCTTCCCCTGACATTAAGTCCAGTCATGCCAACTCTGGGGGTTGGTACTCATCTCCATTTCTAAGCTGAAGAGCCAGTGTTTTCTGTAGACACCTCCAAGGTCTTGTGGACGGCATGACTGCATTACCTTCCCACTGGAGAGATCTACTCACGATTGCATGTTTTCGAACTACTAGGTTGGAAGAAGCTGGGGCTATCAGCGGGAGCTCACACTGCTGCCCAGATTCAAACCTGCAACCTTTCGGTTAGCAAGTTTAACAGCTCAGCGGTTTAACCCACTGCGCCACCGGGGGCTCCATTCAGTAGGATGAAGGGTCAAAATTATGCTTGTTTTACTGAACAGTCTTTGAAGCTTTTGGAGAAGCAACTCCTCTTCCTTTGGGTTCAAATGTTTTTAATAACGATACATCAAATATCTGATGTGATAGATCACCAATCTCCACCTCCCCAATATATTTGGTAATGGTACCCTATCTGTGCCATATTATGTTCTGCAAATGATGGCCTAGAAATGATCTAAAGACTACCTTGAGTAGCCCTGATATATATCAAGTATCTTTCTGTCTCTCCCTCATCCCCAAACACACCCTCTTAGAAATTATCTAGAAGAAGAAGAAGAAGAAGAAGAAGAACCCTACTTCACCGAGGGGACTAAGAGGTGGTTTACAACAAAAAATGACAACACTTTATGCCAGGGGTCCTCAATGCGGCCCTCCAAGGTCATTTACCCGGCCCTCRCTCAGGGTCAACCTAAGTATGAAACTACTTGAATGCACACATAACAACAACAATAATCATATCTCATCAGCCAAAAGTAGGCCCACATTTTCCATCGAAATACTAATATGTTTATATTTGTTAAAATTGTTCTTAATTTTAATTATTGTATTGTTTTAAAATGTTTTTGCACTATAAATAAGATATGTGCAGTGTGCATAGGAATTCATTCATGTTTTTTTTTAATTATAATCCGGCCCGCCAACAGTTTGAGGGACTGTGACCTGGCCCTTTGTTTAAAAAGTTTGTGGACCCTTGCTTTATGCCAACAAGACATAACAAACTCATYAAATCATAAACAATAAAAGACTACTTTGAGTAGCCTTGGTATATAACAAATATCTTTCTGTCTCTCCCCCAAACCTCTCCCTAAATGAAAAGACAGAGAAAGCAATAAATAGAGACTTTGAGAAGATGTACTAGATCTGAATAGGGAAGACAACTCTGGATATCAAAGTAAGGAATCCCAACTGAAAATTAGTCTGAAAACAATACATAGTAATTGCTTAGAGTACACCTACCTTCTAAAGAAGCCTACATTTCTGTGTTAAAGTTATAATAATTAAAGAAAAACATATGTCCATGAAAAATCACAATCACAAATCCTCCTATCTGATGCATTAAAATAATTAAAATTGAGCCCTTCAAATAAATGGTTTTAATCAATTTGGTTGAAATCAAATTAACCCTTCCAAGAAATCATCTTTGTTTTAGTTAAAGGGGCCTATCTATATTGGATTACTCGGCATCTCCATCAGGAGAGATAAGCATAAACCTTGTTAATCCTCACACAAACACCATGAGGTAGCCCCCTAATATCTCTTTTACTTGAACAGAGAAAAATGGATTTCAGAGAGAACGGAAAGGTGGTAAACGAATTTACGCACTCAGTGCAACCAAACAAGTTGGCCTTTAAATTCTGCTATCTAACATGTCCATTATTGATTGGCTCATATCCTAAAAGCTGACTGCGTGCGCACGCGCACGCACACACACACACACAGTCTTTCTCAGCAAGTGAATAAATACAAATGATCACTTCAAAATAGGGTTTTCGTTTCTGCTTCTGTTTCCGTACCCAGAGCAATATGTTACTGCTGATGCCTAGCATGACTTCACTCACTTCCTCTGCTTCCCCATTAAACATTTTCAGAGGGAAAACACACCAAGTGACTCTAAACAGACTTCCTATTCAATGGCGTGGCAGGCAGATACTAATGACGTATGGTGGTGGTGGTGGTGGGGGGGGGGGGTTGGGACACCCACACATTTTGTCTTTCTGGCATTAACTCGAAGGTGGGAGAGGTCAGGGAAAAGCCTGGGAAGGACTGTTTCTTAAGGGGCATCAACGCTTGCTGTTGGTGCTAGCGATGCTGTGCATCAGCTCTGTTTCTCTTCTACATGATCCACACTCTTCTACTTCTCCAGCTGAATGAGGAGGAAAGGAAGTGGCAGCTACACATCCCAGGAGTCCCGCCTGTCCCTGGTCAGCTTTCCCAGGGACTTCTTTGATCAATTTGTAGCCCATTCAGAAAGGCCCCTCAGGCACAGCCTCCACACTTTCACAAATTTGAAGTCATAGCCTGCCATATGGAGCCTTCTCTTCTCATTAGAAAGAAAATCTCCAGGGTGGAAAATCACTGGGCTTTCTGCATTGCTCAGGGATGGGATTCACACACCATGCAGCCCTCTGAGAGTCCAAAACAAAAATGGCTTTGTGACCTATGGTGCACACCCATCCCCATGACTGTCTATAATCAGAGCGGAAGCAGAGGTCAGTTATAGACAAGAGAAAGAAAGTGGAGCTTGTGGGGAAGAGCTGGATTTTAGGGCACCACATGATTTGGACATAAGACCTTTCCTACAAGTCGCATTGTAATTTGTCCGTGAAAGAACGGTCCTCTCTGTGGGTGTCTCTCAATATTGATGCATCTACACTGTAGAATTAATGCAGTTTGGAACCACTTTAACTGCCCTGGCTCAATGGTATGCAATCAAAGGAGTTATAGTTTGGTGAGTTATCAGCACTCTTTGGGAGAGAAGGCTAAACACCTTTAAAAACGACAACTCCCACGATTCCATAGCATTGAGCCATGGCAGTTAAAGTGCTGTCAAAACACACGAGTTCCACAATGTACGAGCACTCATTCCCACCCCGCTCTCTCACATACACCCTTTTTGCTCTCTACTCAAAAGAAACTCACCAGCAGATGAGGCCTGCAATCACAGCGGTCCAAGTGATGCAGCAAGAATTGGGCCTTTTTGTCTCTGTCTCCTCTTCCTTCTTGCAGCAGCATAGGCAGATGAGATAGATGCCAAGGAAGATGAGGTTGAGGCCCAAAAAGACAGCTCCCAGCAGGGCCAAGAACAGCAAGGACTGGGGGAGGACACAGAAAAGGGAAAGATGGATGATAAACATTTCCTTCTGCAAAAGAAATATCCCTCATGCACACTTGAAGCTGTAATGTTAATCAGAGCCAATATTCCCAAAACAGTTAAGTTATTATCCAATATCATTCTCCTTATTCCTCCAAATTCCACATATTAATTCAGTAATTTTTGAAATTTACAGAGGTCTACACTATTGGCCTTTGTTGTAACTCAAACACAATTTTCAGCAATATATAAATATAGGGGTTGTGAATCTGTGGCCTCAAGGTCTCTGACTTATGGCAATCCTATCCAAGATTTATGTAGAGGCTGAGAGAGTGTAACCTGCCCATATTGCAGCATGGACAAGCAGAAAAATTTAATGAAGTACTATACAAGTGGATTCAATAGTGCTTTCCCCCCAAATATGCACTCTTTCACAATTAATATCTTTGGAGGACATAGATAATGGAAGAGTCACAATTCAAGAGGGATATTGACAAGCTGGAAGGTGTCCAGACGACGATGACTGAAATGATCAAAGGGTCTGCAAACCATTCCCTATGAGGCTTAAAGAGCTGGATATGGTTGGCCTGCAGAAGAGAAGGTTGAGAGAAGATATGATAGCTATGTTTAAATATTTGAAAGGATATCATAAGGAAGAGGGAGCAGGGTTGTTTTCTGCTGCCCTGGGAACTAGGACTCAGAGCAATGGGTTCAAATTACAGGAAACAAGACTCCACTTGAACATTAGGAAGAACTTCCTGACCATGAGAGCTGAGGCTTTTAAACAGTGGTTGGATGGCCATCTGTCGGGGGGTGCTTTGACTGTGCTTTCTTGCACGGCAGAAGGCTGCACTGGATGACCCATGTGGGCTCTTCCAACTCTATTATTCAATGAAAAGTAGTATCAGGAGGCTGACCACAGACTTTACTTCCCTCATCCATGTTCTATGGTAATCAAACCAAATGATGACTAGCTGACATATCAAGCTGCACCAAAGTGCATCAAGGAAATCTATTATATGCTAAAATTACTTCTCTCTGCAGCCTTAGAGAGCGTTGTCTAAGTTGGACACAGGTAGATATATGATATCACCACTTCTGCAGTTATTCCCCTTCAGTTCATACAGCAATCAACTTTTTTTATTTAACTACCCTATGTACTAATGGATAAAGTTAGAAAATTTAGCTGAAAAAACTTGAGTTGACTTATTTCCAGCTCAATGTAAGTATTCTTCTCAAAAAAGAACCATACCCTCTCTAAGAAGAGAAAGGGGAAAGCTCACTCCATCCTGGAAGAACCTAAAAGATGCACCAATTCCTTCTCTTTTCACCCTGGCACAGATTTTCATTATTTTTAATGTCTTAATGGGGCCGCTCCTCCACCCCCCCACGGGGATGCTGGCACTTTCCCCTCTGTAGAATAACCCTCAACCTGTTCACGAGTCATATCAAAATCTGTAATTTTGGTCTCCAAACTTGCCCTCGACTTATGCCTAAAGACAAATGGTAGATTGCTCATCTGCAAACTTGGTACAATGTGTATGTCGAATTCTCTCTCTTATGTGTGTATTTGCCTTCAAGCTGCCTGTCAACGTATGGAAACCTGATGCATTTCATAGTATTTTCTTATGCAAGGAATACTCAAAGGTGGTTTTACCAATTTCTTCCTCTCAAATATAGCCTACATCACGCCCCAAATATGCTAACAATCAAGTCACAGAAAGATATTAACACCAAATCAGCAATGCAGAATGCTTACCCTTAGCTATCAAAGTGCATAGAAAAGTTCTGCTAACAGCATCCCGCCAAACCGGCCATTGACCAGCAAGTAAATGTAAAATTGTTCCCTAGTTGTTGAACAAACAGAAAAAATATGCCATTGAAGTAAAACAACCTGCAAAATCTGTGTTACCACCTTATATCAGCAAGTTGTAATCTGAAATGGGGATGGAGCTTTCAGTTGAAGAGGGAGTCTGGTGGGAAAGAAGATAAATTCTTCCATTGCCAAAGTTTCCCCACCACTGTTTTCACTCTAGCTAGTCATCATCACAGGCGATCCCTCGTGGTTGAGTATGATTGTCTTTCAGAGGTAGAGTCTTGGTGGTGGATCTGTAAATGACTGTGAATATCTATTCTGGATCCATGCAGTCTTTTGCAGTGAGGGCATACATTTCCTGACAAGGGTTTACATCTGTCAGGGATACTTTGTGCTTTTTCTGCATGGCAGGGAGTTGGACTAGATGGCCCATGTGGTCTCTTCCAACTCTACTATTCTATGATGTGCCCTCATCTTGGCATGTTTCTCCCTTTTGCCTTCTATTTGTTCCTCCTCAAAATCCACAGCATTGCTGGTAACAGCTGACCTCCAATTATAATGCTTGAGGGCCAGGGTTTTCCCAGTTCTTGGTGTTTATTCCATGTTTTTTAAAAGATTAGCTTCAAGTTCATATTTAAATCTCTTTTGTTCTCCACTGACATTCTGTTTTCTGTCCTTGAGTTGAGAATACACTGACTGCTTTGGGCAACAACTCCCATGGTGGCTAGAAGAATCTGGTAGTTGTCGTCCAAAAAAGCAACTTTTCCCACACTCTGAGCCTCTCACAGCAATCTGTTCTACTATTAATGATGGAACTAATTAGTGCCTATTCGAGATCTCAAAGTGGTTGTGAGGTCTTTGGTTATCAGCCTATGTTTTGATATAGATCTAAAGGGCAGCTTTGCTTCTAAACTACACATCACCAAGCACAAGTGGTTCTGATTTCAAAATGTGGGCTTTCATGTAAGTCAGGTACTCAGAGCAATACATACACCCAGAGGCAGTTTGCGTGATTAGCCAGAATTTCTAAAGAGGTTTATATCTGTCATCTCTTCATTTCCAGAACAAATTTAATCCCTTGAAAAAGAAATGTTATGGAAATGCTCGGTCCTTGCCCTCTCTTTCACTCACAGTGGGCCAATTAAGGTGGCAGCAACAGCTCAGGGTATTTTCCTACCCAGGGCACAGCTTCAAAGAGCTCCTGCTCCCAAATCAAATAGTGTATTATATTGGCAACTGTAGTTGCCAGTTGTATTATTGGCAACTGTAGCAACTATAGCTCTCAAATCAATTTTGACTTATGGCGACTTTATCATAGGGTTTTCTTGGCAAGATTTCTTCAGTAGAAGTTTGCCATTGCCCTCTTCTGAGAATTGAGACTTACCCATGACAATCCAGCTGGTTTTAATGGCTGAGTGGCAATTTCATTTATAGTCATTGCCCAGCACACAAACTCCTACACCAAAGTGACAACCACACCCCCAACTAAGCTGTCCCTTAAGAACTTCTTCCCTGTAAACATAAAATAAATCAAATAATCAAACAATAATCATATGCTTCCTTTTTGGGGACATCCAAAATATGGCGCCTGAAGCAATAGGAACCTAACTCTGCTTAACTCTCAATAGAAAGTCCAGAGCAGAGCAATTCACAGTCTGCTTGGCTAATCTACCCACCTTAGCTACTGAATTGCTCCCGGTGGCACAATGGGTTAAACCAGTGGTTCTCGACCTTCCTAATGCTGCGACTCCTTAATATAGTTCCTTATGTTGTGGTGACCCCCAACCATAAAATTATTTTCATTGCTACTTCATAACTTTAACTTTGCTACTGTTATGAATTGTAATGTAAATGTCTGATATGCAGGATGTATTTTCATTCACTGGACCAAATTTGGCACAAATAACCGATACACCCAATTTGAATACTGGTAGGGTGGGGGGTTGATTTTGTCATTTGGGAGTTGTAGTTGCTGGGATTTCTAGTTCACTCATAACCAACGAAAATTCTGACCCCCCCCCCCCAACGATAGAATTGGGCCAAACTTCCCATACAGAACCCCCATGACCAACAGAAAATATTGTACTTTCTGATGGTCTTTGGCGATTCCTCTGACACCCCCCTCATGACTCCCCCAGTGGTCCCAACCCACAGGTTGAGAAACACTGGGTTAAATCCTTATGCTGGCAGGACCGAAGACTGATAGGTTGGAGATTTGAATCCGGGGACAGCATGGATAAGCTCCCTCTGTCAACTCCAGCTCCCCATGTGGGGACATGAGAGATGGTAAACATCAAAAACATCCAGGCGTCCCTGTATCCTGCATCTTTACACAATTGTAGTTTCATGTGACATCTTTATCACACAGGTGGAAGCAGAATGGGACAGAGGGACCACAACATAAAATAAAATAAAATCACTAGTAAAAAAATCACTCAGAGGTCAAGGAATGAAACGCACAAGAGTCACAACCAAGATGTGGACATGGTTTCTGAATCATCGCTGCTTCCCCTAGAGGTGATTTCCACGAAAGTATTAACACTACTACCTCAAACAGACTTTCAAACACTCATGATTTAGTAAATAAACTTTTAAAAGGCAAGGCTATCACTAGGCTGTGTTCCCTAGCAACAGAGACAGAAATAATACTAGCATTTAAATGCATTAGTTCTAGCTTGTCAGCTAACATGACATGATGGGATTTTGGTGCAGGCTAACCAAGAAATTGGAGAAAAGAGCAGAAACTCCTATGTGAACAGAGACAAAAGGGAATGGAGCAGTTGCTGGTGGTAGATTGTGGCCAGATGAAGGTATAAGAACAGTTTGTCCTCCTGCTGTAGGCCAAATTCTCAAAATTCACAAATTAACATATTACCATATGGATTTTAGCCATATCCTAGCAGAGAGATTAAAAGAGCATTTTCTCAGTTCATTCTAGGCTTCCAATTCACCCAATATAGGCAGCGGGCTGCAATGAATGAAATGCTACATTTGGTTCAGAGCACCCAAATCTAGGTTCACATTTATATTCAGCCATTACAGATAAAACATACTGAATGATCCTGAGCAGCAATCAAATTGTCCAGCACCATCTGACTTACAAACAACTTATAGTTAAGAATGGGAGAGAGACAATAAGAAGTGAGAGAAATCTACCCCTAGGAAGGGAAATTCACTCCTGGAAG